CGTGTAAGCCCACTGCCCAGAGGGCAGGCCCTCCCCGTGTAAGCCCACTGCCCAGAGGGCAGGCCCTCCCCGTGTAAGCCCACTGCCCAGAGGGCTGGAAGGCTTCCCAGATGTCTCCACCAGATCTGAGTGCGGCCATGTAACATTCACATTAGCTAAGTCAATCTAAAAATCAGAGACCTCAGTCCTCTTTCCACAGTTCAATACTTTTATTAGCCACCAGAGACCTCTAGTCACAGATGTAGGAGAAATTTAGTACTGCCTTTTAGAGGGGTGGGGTCCCCTCTGTAGGATGCTTGAAGACATAAATAATCTAAAGGCTTCACAGGAAATTCTTCAACAAGGGGACGCATTTAATATGGTGTTTGCTTTCATACATTAAAGAATTCTACATGTCCCATAAAAGCTGTCTTTATACTCTGGGAGGCCGAGGTGGGTGGATTGCTTGAACTCATGAGTTCAAGACCAGCCTGAGCAAGAATGAGACACCATCTCTACTAAAAATAGAAAAACTGGCTGGGTGTCACGGCCTGCATGTCATCCCAGCCATTCAGGAGGCTGAAGCAGGAGGATCACTTGAGCCCGAGAGTTTGAGGTTGCTGTGAGCTATGATGCCACACCACTCTACCCAGGGCAACATAGTCAGACTCTGTCCCCTTATACAGCATTATGAATCCAGGCGCATGCCCTATCTTTGCACTTTCTGTTATTCCTTGACGTAATCTACTGACTGGCTTTAGGAAGAAAACAGATACGCTCCTTTCCACCATAAGCATCTCCACTCAGAGCACCATCAATTCACCCAAGAGGGACAGATACCACAGGAGAGGCCTGGCAACTTAATCACTCAAGTTGAAAGATTAGCTCCTTTATAAACCAGTATTAAGAACAAATGAATCATTTGAAATTATATACTGAAAAATACTTACTAGGGAGCAATATTTTCCTTGGAGTGCCTGTGGATGGCTTCCTTTACTGAAGGGCCCTGCAAGAAGTTCCTCCTCACTTAGAAAGAAGTATCATGTTTATCTTCCAATGAGTTTCATAGTTCAGTGAAAATGAAGTTCTTTTGGTTCAAGGTAGCCGCATGCCTCAATATTTAACTGTTTACTTAACGGATAGTACATGCCAATTATATTAATAACAATTGAATAAAGTACCTAAAATTGACTTGGTTTTCCCCGTTCTGGTATTGATATACATTTTCAAGTAAGGAATTCTCACTGGGAATGAACAGAACCCTCACCAAGTTTAGGAAATGCACATGTTAGTTCCGCTAGTATGTAATTATTTTAACTAAGGAAGTAAACTAGCAAAAGACCAGACGGTAGGCAAGGGGCCATCTTTGGAGCTTACAGAGTCACTTAATGAGCCGTATCCCTGAAAGTAAGGGAAGCACTTTTGGAAGCTGTGTTAATTCTTCTTCAGGCCATTCAGCTAGTTAATACTGCAGAGCTCTAGTAAATTATCACTTTGGAATGAGAAGCAAGAGCTCCCTCCTGGGCCGACTGGACCTGATTTTATACCTTTATAAATAATGGCAAACTTAGGTGGGAGATGTAGCATGTTATGTAACTGACTTTTAAAAAATGCCCTAGAACATGATGGAAAAAAATAGAATAGGAAGAAACATACCAAATAAGAAAAGTAGAGAAGATAATGAGGTTTTGAAGGAGACAGCCAGGAGAAAGACCCTCCAGGCGAGAAAGCACTTCTTCAGACGGTAAGACAGAAGTTCTGCGTGTTCTGTACAGCTGGAGCCAAGCAGGAGTGGGTCTGGGCACTGGCAAGTGCTACGTGGTGTGAGGTTTCTAATGATATCCTAGAGCAGTTATTTTTGACTAGTGTGCCATGAAAATTTTTAAAGGACATTAATTAAATTATTTTCAAAAGGCGTTCAAAGCACAGTAAGTGTATTCTTTTCATTACTTCTTTTTTTGATCGACATAATTTACATGTGCCATGGAAGTTTACCTACAGGCTCAAGTGTGCCGTGAAATTAAAAAAATAAAGGTTGAAAATCACCATTCTGGAGAAAGGATACGCAGCAGTCTACTGACGGAATCTCAGATAAATTT